ATATATATATATATATATATGAACCATTGTGTAAAATACGAACAAAAATTGACATATATATGAACTTGGACTGGATAACATTTATGAACATATTAAGAATAGCTACTATAGGAAAGGAAATAAATAAATAAAACATGTATGAACACAATATGAACAACTCGTGAATAATAGTTCCTTCATTATGAACACATTCAGAAGCGAGCCACTGTTGAGATATGCAGCTAGTGTACATATGAACACAATATGAACACTCGTGAACAATAGCATCGTAGAAATAGTATGAACGAGTGATGAACATGAACAAGCCATGTAGTGAGAGAATATCATAGAAATAGTATGAACACATAATATATATGCTATGAACACGTGGTGCAATTAAAGAAAAAAGATATCAATACAAGATGAATTATAAAAAACATAACACATCATAATGAACATAATTTCGATTAAAACGAATTTAATAAAAATATTAATCTATTTCCAAGACATTCGCTTTGGTTAATTTTCTTCACTTCCCGAACTCGAAGAAAATTTTACTACAGTGTTTTCTATGCGAATTAAAAAGTCATAAAACAATGACCATGGAAGATCAAGATTAAATATATATATATATATATATATATATTAATATTATAAATACATATTTTTTGGGATTTGATGATTTGTAACTCCCCATTAATTGTTTGGGAGTTACATATCAAATCAATTTACTGAAATACCCTTGTAATTAACTTGTGTACATGACATAAACCTACTAGAAGAATGAAATTTGATTGGTTGACATGGTTTGCAAAGTTAACACAAAATTGTTGGTTAACATTTGATCTTCTCTCTATATATATACACACACACACATATTTTAAGGGTGTCTCAGGCTATGCGTGAACTAATCCAATAAATTATAAGGACAAGACTTCAGTTCTGATAAACTCAATACAATTGTTGTGTACATCTAGAATCGAAGCCTGGACAAATGTAAGAAACATATTCTTGTGGATTAAATTTAGTTAACGCGGCTCTCTCTTTCTTTTATTTTAGTTGCAAGTTTTATGTGTCGCTGTAAATTTCGTGTGCTGCTGTTTCTGACTGTTTTTACAAGAAAACAATGCATTAATTTGGACATTTTTCAAGAAAATAAATTAAAAGTCTCCGTCGATAACAAGACTTCCTTTGATCTATGTGTACATTCGAAAACTTAAGAAAGTAAGGATCAATCATGGTGATGAAGGAACATGTGCACTCCTTAGAATTTGCTGGCAAATATTTCTTCCTGATTAACATATTGACAATGCTCTTATTTAATTATTGCCATTTGTTACGGATCATGCAAGTAGTGAGATGCTTTTCTCTCATGTGTTATTTGTAGTAGTTGTCTAGGAGTTTTCCCCACGTCACCCCTCGATCCATTGGATCATTAATGCCCACCTCATTTTCTTAATCAGTCATTAAGAAATAATAAGGTTTTCTGGCCACACCAGTAGGATGCCTGCCTGTCAAGAGTGTTTTCTTCAAGACCCTTAAATCCTCATTAATTATATATGGTAATCAGGCTTAGTATAGGCTGCAGCAATATAATAGATGTATGCCCACATGATCCATTCGTGTGTAGTCCTTAATTTGCAGAGATCACCTTGGCATTTAGCTTCATGAAAATGAAAATAACTTGCCTCATGTTCACCATTTTGACGATATTAACAGTGATTTTGCTAGATTGTGTGTGGTGGATTCTACCATTTTTAGGAACATTAAACTTTCATCCACGGTATTTTACTAAAATTCACACAGGAAAAATGGAACTTTTTCTAAAGACAAGGATAATGAAAGTGAAAAAAGGTACGGAGGATAGATAAGGCTATTAAATGCATGCACATGTGTGCATGGCTCATCGTGTAAGGCCACTTATGATATCTTGGATGGTTTCGAATAAAATATAACATGATGTGATTTCTAAAACTGTAATGCATGAGTGGTGTGCCAGACGAATCTCCATATCATGTCTGCGTGAAACTTGATGTTACAGAAAACAAGTTAGTGAAGTTACTACTTAATAGAGAGTACAGCTAATTAATCAGTTCTATAGTGGAAGATCTGGAAACAGTTTCAATATGGATATAATCACTTAAGAAAATTGTTGTTTAAATCTACTGGGCATTGAGGATTCAGTAGGCTGAATCAACATGTAAAGCCTTTGGTATGCAGTTACAAGAAAACTAGTAGTTAAAACGGCATCAAGAAAAATGTGGAAAGTAAAACCTGCCATCTGAATAGCCATCAGCTAGTGTCTGTATAGCTCTATATTATATTTTACAGAAATACTGTCATATCCTCTAGCTAGAAACATGGCAAGTAGAAGTGAAGCTGGCTATGAGTTGTTCCCCTGCCACCCCTAGATTGCATCTTTAACACCACAAACATCTCTTTTTCTTCGTTTAATGAGAGATGAGGCTGTCTCATCTCACCTCTGCAGCCTCCCTAGCTGTCAAGCGGGCGTAAACTTGAATCCCGCTTAATTACCTATATAAATCTGAATTTCTGATGATAACAGAAATACTAGAAATGATCGAGTATGCCCGCATGATATGTTCATGTGTCTCCGGGATTGAGACCTGCTTCACGTAACAATTTGATCCTGAAAGTTAAAAAAAGACATATATACCAGATTGATCACCATCTGGACTAAAGAACTATATCAGATTTAACATCCAATTCAAAAGTCATATCTTGTTTGATGTGGCATATACGTAACATGCTAAGAATTTATATTTTATCTGAATTGAATTGAATTAAATTTTGAATGTCAAAGGGCATCCAATTAATAGAACAAAAATAGGCAGAAGGAATTTCTTTAATGATTTCATGAGATGCATTTCCAGTATCCACTATTTTATTGATGGCATGATTGGGTCATTACTATGAATGTACAGCTAATATATTTTTCCACTTGATTTGTAAATCCTTCCAAATTATTAATCTCACAGAAGATATTGAATTAATAACAAAGTTTGTAAAGGAAACATGAGACATACTAAGAGAGAATGGCATCTATTCCATGGTCAGTAACAAATAAAACAAAACTAGCTTCTGATGCTCGGTTAATGGTCAACTATTGCTATGGAGGCCACATGCAGGCTTCACATGGCATTCATTTTCTTTGATTGATTCATTCCATCTTCACTTTGTATATATACAAGCATTGAACCCGCAACTACCACATCAAAAAAAGCTTTTGAGTTATTTGGCAAAAACATAAGAAAATAATGGCTTCCACCTTTTCTTCAGCAGAAAACATTCATCACTTCCGATCAATGAGTTTGCCAACCATATCGCATCCAAGCACTATCCAGGCGGAAGAGGAGATCTGCAAATTCAGAACATGGGAGGCGTCCACGTCATCTGTTCCTACTGCGGATACAATCTGCGGTGCACTAAATAGGCTGCAAGGATTATACGAATGCGTTGATGGTCTTCTCAGTTTGCCTTTGACCCAACAAGCCCTTACCCATGGCCAATATACGCGATTGGTCAATGAGTTGTTGGATAAATCCATCAGTCTTATGGACATTTGTGAATCCACAAGAGACTTGGTATCACAAGTCAAAGAAAATGCTAGAGATGTTCAATCGGCTGTGCGAAGGAGAAAAGGTGATGTAAGCATAGCCACTTCCTTCATGAAGAACCTGAAGAAAGACACCAAAAAGGCTATTTCATCATTGAAGCAAATTGATGAAAAGATTGGAGGTGTGCCTCCCATAGATCTAGATCATCACGTCTTATCAGTTATCAAAGTAGTAAGGGATGTTGGTGTCGTGAGGTCATCTGTGTACAGGTCACTCTTGTTGTTCTTGTCTGGATCTGTTGCAAAGTCAAAGTCCACAAGGTGGTCAATAGTTTCAAAAATGATTCACAAAGGAACGGCTGAGGAAAAGAATCAGGTTCAAGTTTTCAATGGGGATCTAGAGAGCCTTTTTGAAGAAATGGAGAATGGTTTGGAGTGCATGTTTAGGAGTTTGATCAAAACAAGAGCCTCTCTCCTAAATATTCTTCCCCCTAAACATTCTCTCAACTTGGGCAGCACTGTTACCATGGATCAAGCTTAATAGCATGTTCTCGAACTCAATCCTCTCGTTAGCACGTTCCAAAACTCAATCATCTCCTTATCAAATTTCTGGGTCTACATGGTTTGTAAGCCACATATGAAATGTTTATGGGCACTTCGGACAGCAATGGCATGGTCGATATGGAATTAGGCTCGTTGTTTTGAGTACATATCTATGTACTCCTTTTCTTGTACTTCTTATTTCTGTTTTTGTAATAAATTTGAAGTGCGTTTTTCCAAATTAATGTGTTTTTATAGACGTATACACAAGTGTGTATGTCTGATGAATTAAAGCCCGGATCTTGAATAATGCAATTCATCAAAAGATGAACGTTTCTCTTATTGTTGTTTCTATCAGTATACAAGTTATCCTTCTCGACCTTTTGGAAGTTGATTATATGGGATAACGGATAAGTTTTTGCCTACGGTATGGAACATTTGATGTGGATACCACAGAAAACATGTTGGAGAATTTGCGTAATCTAAGATATCACAACAAAGAACCTGGATAAGAATATGATATTGCATAGATATCACTTTCTTTAAGCTATATTATGACCCTATACTGACTAGGTTATATAAAATTTGCTTGATGATAATCTCAATTCACACTCACAAATATGGCAGAAAGCTAGAGCTTTAAACACGGAGAAGCTGTATTGTTTTTTCAATCTTAAAATTTAGAATGTATGCACCATTGTTATGTAATAATTACCGGAAGTAATTGATCAATTATTGGGCAGTTACGAAATGGCAAATATAAAATCCACAAAGTGGTTTACTTTTTGAATCCAAGTCTGGCCTTCTTAAGTCTCTTGCCTTCTAAATTGAGGGCTTGCCTTCTGAAGTGAAAGTCTTTTGAACCAAGCTTTCTGGAGTGTCAAGACTTAATCATTTCAGAAAGCATATAGCTTTCTGAATATATGCTTTCTGAATCGGATTTAGACTTAGCATTTTCTGAAGGCACATAGCTTTCTGAACCTTGTTTCTGAATACCACTTGGTGAATGATATTTAGTAATATGGCTTTCTGAACCACTGCCAAAGGCAGCTTCCCTAAGATGCTATAAGGGGGAGCGACTGCAACACCCTAAGCTTTTGAATCACAATTTTAGAGTTTCATCTTTATTTTTCCGCCTTGGTGTGAATGGTATTAAAGTTGTATTATAGATACTATCATTTGTAAAGGTTGGTGAAGGTTAATCCATGTCAAAAGAAGCCATTGGGAAAATTTTGGCAACGTCACGGTCGGTATCGCATGAGGTTCTGGACGAAAGGTAAGAGAAACAGTGGGTGCCGCAACCCATCATGCGGCTTAAGCCGCAAGGCACATTGAGCGGATGTCCGGGCCTGGTCATGGGATCTGGATGCGGGCAACTCATACCATAACTTAGGTCACAAGAGTGGTCACGGGGACTTGTCTAGGACGAAGTTATTGCATTTTTTATAGGGTTTTAGCTTATTTTTCAACCTCATCTTCTCTATCTTCATTCAAGGCGATTTTAGGAGATTCCTACTCCTTTCTTAGAAGATTCAAGGTTCATTTAAGAGGTTTTAAGCCAATGGTCTCAATTCTAAGTATCCAAAACTTCAAGATCTCATCCTTCTCCCTATTTTGTGAGGTTTTAAAAAAATGTAGCCTTTGTGAGTTCATCCTACCATTTTATAAACTTTTATACATGTCAAAATGATATATCTTAGATTCCTAAACATCTCTTTCGATCTATTTTGAATATTGGTGGGGTTTGAACCATTTTGGGTATTTTAGAAGATTTTAGGGTTTTTCCCTCTTAAGAGAGTAATTGTTTGACTTATCTATATGTTATAAAAGTGGATCATTGATACGTATGTGACATTTTGGGACTTGAATCTCATGATTTAGGTTATGCTTGGTTTCTCACCCTTGAAAATATTTTACTTGAAAAAGTATTTGGGGTTTATGAACCCTTAGAAATGATGATGATTTTGGTACTTGGATTTGAAAATAGAATAGCTTAATTGAAGTTATGAGGCATTGGACCTTTTGGTCAATCTTAGCTTTTAATGAACTGATGTTGAGATCATATGTGATGGAAAACTATATGTTTGATTATAGTTGGTCATTTTAAAGTTATGATATGTGATAGACTGTAATGTGATGGATCCATAGGCACAAGAGTTAATTAGTGTGGGTTTGATGTGGGATGGTTTTCCCAATTTGTAGCTAGAAAAAGGCATTGGGTCATTTAGGGCATTATAGTATGGACTCTTAAAGCCGGATACCGGTCATTGATCACATGATGTAATTTATAGTGAATGCGCATAACTAAGATTATCGTGGGTCTCAAGCTATAAATCAATGATTGACTGAACTCGTTGATCATTGATATGTAGTAGAGCTCTATAGTGTAGATACTAGATACATGGCCTATATTGGTGTTCTGCCACTATTCATGGAAATTGGGTCTCCACCGTCAAGCGCAAGATGAGTTTTGAACGTTATAATCTTTAAAATGATATATGTGGACAATTGGGTTTGATCAAGTTCATATTCCAAACTTTATGCTTATTTACTTCATTTATAAATTATTTAGACTCACTATACGTCAAGTCTAACATTTTTTCTTAAAATGACATGTATATCATGTTCCTTAGGCAGTGAGTCTAATTAAGGATGTTTGAGCAACGATGGAAGTGTCCGTAGTGGTACTTGTCGGTTAGAATTTTTGGAGCACCTATGATGATGATGATAAATATTCGTAGTCCCTTTTGAGGGTTATGTGCGACACCTAATGTTTAATCTATTTCTAGATGGATTTAGATTAGGAGATTGTCGACTATTAACTTTTCTCTATATCCTCGATTTTAGTTGGCTTTATCCCTTTGTTGGGAAATACTCTTTACATAATGATAGATCCAGGTTTTTGTAAGTTCTGATTTTGTCCTATCTTAGGGGCATTACCCCTTTGACCCCCACCATAATGCGACATTCGGCTAACCCAGGTTCTAGCTAGCTTATAGAAGTGTGTGCTCTCACCCCCTAACCTGTATTATAGTTTAGCTACCAAACCCTTTTATTCTCGTATAAATCCAACTACATAAACCGACTTAATGATTCACTAAAATCACTAAAGGCAGTTACTGGAGACACATCAAGTTGCTTCAAAACTTGAGATTATTTGAAAAGCTTTCTTTATTGGGCAAAAGGACCTACTATATAGGTGCATATGATCTAAAGAAAAGATATCAAGCAAATGTCAATTCATTAATGAGTCAATATAGACCAATCAATTCTGTTATTAGCAAGATGGAACTTGTGTATCAAAGCTAGACATCTATAAGTCGTTTATTCAGGTAACTTGCAAGTGGCATTCCAAATGGTGTGGATATCAAGACAACCCTTGGTACAATGCAAGCAACATGTTAGGTGACTACCAAGATGTATTTGATGTCATATTGATTCAAATTCTAGGCAACTTGTTTCGCAAGCTGGAAATTGAATATAAAGTAGCTCGCATGCATGTTGGGACCATATGAGATGCTGACAACCTCTAGGTAGCACGTAAAGTCTAGTACAAGAACTAGACAGATAAATTAAAACTCTAGGTAGATGTTGGCAACCTCAATTCAAATTTGAAATTTTGGCAGACGCATAAACTATAAACCTAGAGAAAATCATAATGTTTTGTACGTGAAAACCGAAAATGAATGTCCCACTAGATGAAAGTGATAACCGATAGCAATCATGAACACGTTGCATCAGTGGATCAGTAGTAGGTGAAATGACCAACATCAGTAAATGCATCGACTGATCCATGCCACTAATGGCAGGAGCTGACACTCATCAGTGGCAATGAAAGAACATTCATCAGTGTCACAGAAACACTGATAAATAACCATCGAACCCATTAGCAGGACCACGAGCAGGGGCTCTGCCAGGCCTACCATGGTTTCCGCTAGGACCCCACGAGTGAGCACAACCACCTTAAGCCTGCCATATGGTGACATTCGGCTATCCAGGGTTCTAACTAGCTTAGACGAGTATGCATTCCCACACCTCCTAACTTAGACCTTCAAGATTCCTATATGTCGCACAAAGGCGTTGCTTCCTTACTGCAAATCTACTTGCTCCTTTTTTATCTAAAAGATTCTTGTTGTATTGTTTAAAATTCCATACATCTCCTTTATTTTGGATCCATAACTTTTTAAAAGATTCAGGATAGCTAAAAACATCAACTATTTTAGGCTCCATAGAGTTAAGGATCCAATATATGACAAGTTGATCGTTTGTGGTACAGGCTTTAAACTTCTCGTTTGTTATTGTAGGCTTCTAGTTGTCCTCTTGAATGTAATTAAGCTTAGATCTTCCTACAAGTGCTAGAATGATGGATCTTGACCAAGGAAGATAGTTATATTCGTTCAACAATGTTAGCAAGGATTTCCATCCATGGATCTCCATCCATCCTAAAATATACAAGGAGCCATCCATGTCCTCTAAATGAGTAGAAGGGCATAAAGGAAGGCTACAATAACCGTAAGCCGAGAAGATCTCTCACTGTAGCATAATGGTGAATGATCCTTAACACACATCATGATAGTTTTTACTCCATTTGTGTCCGTGAGCATGTCGCTTGGTGAAATTAAAATGTCATGTATTTGAAGAAATTCGCAAAAGGCGTTACAAACAAAGGGTAAATCAAATACAACCCCATTAAACTTTATAAACATGTAAATGATTTTCATGTGTTAGTTTCATATACGAAACAACGTGCAGTATTCACACAATGTTGTTTCATATATGAAACGTAGAGAAATGTTTTGCATGTGAAACAATACGAAAATAGTTTATATGAAACACACGCACGTCTACTCATACACACACAAGAACAAAGCATTTGAAACAATATGAATTATAACTTAAAATCAAACTTACTGAATGGTTTATGTTGTATTTATTGGGTTTGTTAATTAAATTATAGAAAGCTTAAAAAAAGACTTCATCACAGAATTCCAAAATCGATATATTAAAGTTTTATTTCATTTAAGTTTTATATAATGAAAAAAGAAAAAAAAAAGATTTACTTTTAACTTTCCTTTCCTTTCCTTTTGGTTTATTACACAAATAAGCTGTTCGCCAAAAATGGTGTCCCTAAAGCTTTCTGCTAACACATCTGCTGCTTGTGAAGTTGCCTTGAACTCCAAGTTGTATTCATGGTTGAACAATTCGGGAAGATGATGGTCGGCAATCTTGATCGTTCATCAACATGCGGGAAATCGATGGTGTAATGGAGTCCACGGCTTTCGTGTCTCGTCAGAGCACTGCTCACCACCAGTTTCGCACAGCAAAACAGGTTCCTCATTTCACAAGCCTCGAGCCCAACCATCGTTGGTTCCCATCCTTGTTGAAACAAGTAAGCCTCCCATTCGAGTTCCAGCTCCCCGATCCTCTGCTCAGCAGTCTTTAGCCTTGTGGTGGACCTCACAATCCCAACGTACTCCCACATGATTGACTGTAGTTCCTTCCTAACTTCTTTTGTCCTCTTGATGATCTTGTCCAGAATGTTGCACCCTAGCTGCATAGGAATGACGGGTGGGTCCCACCATCGTGAAACGCTTTGATCTATGTAGGACGCTTTCATGTGATCTATTGACGGCTTAACGGCCCTGCGGGCAAATACTAGTGCTTCTAGCAAGGAGTTGCTAGCAAGTCTGTTTGCCCCATGTAATCCTGTGCATGCAACTTCACCTATGCAATCAAGTTAACAAAGATCAGATCTTTCTCGCCAGTTTTATGTCTTCAGGATTTAGATTTTATTGATGAGTGAGACTAGATATTTGGATTCAACAATTCCAAAAATCTTAACTTCTCAAAAGTCTTGCTAGGATGCCAAATACGTGTTATAAACATAAGTCCTATAAAGCAGTCTATTAGGAGATTTAGACATATTTGACATCCTATAAAGCTGATTTTGTTGTAGCGAGAGCAGTTCTTTCCCTAAAGACCCTACAGGGGCATGTTATAAACCAAACTGAACAGGCTCGGTATATCCCACTCAAAAGTAGGACTTAAGGGTTGGGATTTAAGCAGACTTGTCCTCCGCCCCAAAAAGCAGAGTGATTGTTTCCAAGAAGACCCTCGGCCTATGCAAGAGGGTACAGTACCTCTGAAAAACTAAATTCAGAGATTCAACGAAGGATAGAACCAACCCCGCTTCTTATTTTGGCTTTTGAGGTCAAATGAAATAATTCGAAACTTCAATTCTGATACGGGTTTCTTGTTCTCAGATATTTTCACCATTCAACATTGCGATAATTACCAAAACCACCACAAACAGAAAAAACTAGAGCTAAAACGTAACGAATCAATATCAAACTCGGATCAAGAAATTAGTCCATTTGACCACAAAATTCGAAAAACAGAGGAAGAGAAAATCTCACCTGCCACATATAGACCACGAACGTTGGTCTCCCCTTGAAGACCAGCTCGAACCCCTCCACACATATAATGAGCAGCCGGAACCACCGGAATCGGCTGGCGAGTTATATCAATACCATACTTGAGGCACTCAGCAGCTATATTAGGAAAATGGGTAAGAATTTTGTCTCTTCCTTTATGACTGATATCTAGAAGAACATATTTCTCCTTCCGCTTTTTAATCTGATCATCTATACTTCTAGCCACAACGTCTCTCGGTGCGAGCTCGGCCCGTTCATCATACATCGGCATGAACCTTTCCATATCAAGATTATACAGAATGCCACCATCACCCCTCACAGCTTCAGAAATCAAGAACGCGTTTTCCCTGGTTTTGGTTGGTGGGATCGGGAGGCCTTCATCTGCTAGTGATGTTGGATGGAACTGCACAAATCTGAGAGTGAAAATTTGCTTAGAATGCAGCAGAACGCAATCTGCTAAAAGAATTTAGATTTCTTACTCCATGTTCGAAATTATAGCTTGAGCTCGATGTGCCATTGCTATTCCATCTCCAGTAGCCACCTGTGAAATTTAACCTCAAGAATTGGTATACCAGACTACTCGTATTAGAAAACTAACCAAACAAACCCAGATCCAACACATATATGGTTACCCGGGGGGTGGGGGACCTTTCCTCTACCCAAGCATGGCGGATTCAGTATTAGCCAGGGCCCCCGTTCAATCGTCCAACGTAATGGAAAAACATTAGGGTCTTAACGGTGCACACCCATTAATTTGATGTCTGCTTTAACAAATAGTGGTTGCAGCCTACTGGTAGTGGCATGCAGGCAGCATTACATGGTTACAAGTTCGAATCCTTTCGGCTCTTTTATGGTTTTCTGGTAACAACAGAAAATAAACGAAAAAAAAAGGAAAATCCCACTTGGGTGTTGCAAAAAACCGCTTGTATGTCATTTTTTAATTAAGTTGTACTTTTTATAATTAAATTTTGTTTATTTTATATTATGTTAACTGATATATAAAGAATGAATAATTAGCATAAAGAACCAAAATAATGACTATTAACTGAGATAATCATACCGGTGGATTTGTGGTGGATGGATAGACATGCCCTGCGCCACCGGAAGCAAGCAAAGTCACCTTTGAAATAAATCGTACCACCTACAACTTCCGATAGGGAGATGCAGATTAGCAACACATATATCAAGTGTGATATAAAACCAAACAAACCCTGTACATCCCACGACCCGAGTATAGGGTATGGGGGTATGATGTACGTAGACCTTACCTCTGTCTCAAGAGGAGACAGATAGACTGTTTCTGAGAAGACCCTGGCTTGGAAAAGGCTTAGTATAACAAATAGAAAGCACAACTGAAAGCCACAAATTAGGGGGAAAATAGATTGATATAAATGCATTTAATCATGATTGCAATCATCACCTTGCATGTTTTTGTATTCATAGTATCAACACCATGACAAACCATGTCAGATCCATCCTGCAAACCGATTAACAGACTTATCATGCGACTATGTAAGAGCAAAGAATGTCTGTCACTCCAGAGAAATTCACACTATAACGACTACAACAAATCCGTTTTATATGACGTCATATCATGTCCAAGTGTGTTAATGGGACTTAAGTTTATAGGACCAAACAATTGTGTATCCTATTTAAATGTGTTACAACTTGCAATAAGTTGACATCTCTTTTTGGACATCCTAACAAGTTTACCAAGCGCTAACTTACCAAGTCACATTACCTCACCAGATGAATATGGCAAGGACCAAGAATCTCATCCTGTAAGAGCGAAGGCAAGGACTGAGAGTCTTATCCGGTAAGTGAGGGCGACAACTCTTATCACATTTAGCGCTTACCGGGTAAATTGTTGCATATAATACCGTTTTGTTGGACTAAAATCTTACTCAGTAAGTAAGTGATAGTATTGGATTTTTACAGTAAGCACTTACCGGGGTAAGCATTTGGTAAACGGCCCCTTAGACATCTTGGGCATCTTATAAAACCGATTTGTTGTAATGAACCATCTAGTGCATTTACTAATCTTGTTTTAGAGGATGAAGGCAACATAATAGATTTCATTGAGAAGCAAACCTGAGAAGTCAACAAGTCAATAGCGAAATGATGCTTGAAAACCGAAATGTTGGGATCATTCTCAACTACCATGAGAAGTGCCCTTTCGATTTCTCTTCCTGTCATATCAGCAGCATGTACTATTCTGTGATGAGAATGACCACCTTCTCTTGCTAGATGCAAGTTTCCATCCTCTCCATGATCAAATGATGCACCCATGGCTATCAATTCCCTAATTCTCTCAGGTCCTTCTGTACACACTACCTGCACATATGCATAACTTGATATTTTCGACTAAAAACACAATTTCCATCAAACAAGAAGCTTCATTTATAAAAAACGATTTTGGATTTCTCATACTATTATCAAAAGCATCATTCCCGAAGGGGTCAATATACTGGGCAAGGCTCCAAGGCCAAACAAAGCAGGACAAGGAATCATAAACTCATTTTAGTCATAGCAAATCCCAAGGGAAAATGGATATAGTGGTGCGAAAACCCACATGAAACCAAACCAAACAAACCCAATACATCTCACCTGAAAGTGGGGTGGATGGGTGGGGGGGAGATTTACACAGACGTTACCTCTATCTCAGAGACAGAGAGACTGTTTCAAGAAGATGCAACTGGCAAAAAAGAATTAGTATTTTGTTTTTTGAGAAAGCATAGCTATAAGCCACATAGTTGCAAAAAAGAAAGTCCTTTTAAGACTAGAGTTAGAAAAGAACGCAAAGAGCCCACCTAGCTAAATAGCACATATGACACCAACGAAATTCCCAATATCCATCAAACGGTACCACAAACCCAGCTCAAGATTCTTGAACCCTCCTAACCTCCTCCCCCCAACTACGGTCTACAAGCAATCAACTACTCTAATTTTCCGCCTCCAAGAACTCCTGTCTGAGATTATGCAATAAGCAGGGAATAAATCCCTTCGTATTTGCTGTATTCTATAGGTGCTCAAAGACCAGTCAAAGGGGGCAATGAGTTTTAGAATCATAAATAGCATATCTGTAAAAGATAACTATATAATAGATCAAAGAGAACAAGAGGAACTAAAAGTTGCTTGTTTGAAAGCTTACTCTAACAGTGTCCTCATCACATAAATAAGCCCCGGCTACAATTGTATCCTGCATGTGACTCTCCACCGAATCAGAAGGGCACAACACAGCACTAACACCACCCTGTGCATAATTGGTATTGCTTTCATGAGGTTCGGCCTTTGTTATTACAGCAACCGTACCATGTTTTGCGACCTCAAGAGCATATCGAAGACCAGCAACTCCGCTACCAATAACAGCAAAATCAAAATACTTTGTGGAATCATCTCTAATGCATGATGTTACAACTGTTTGGAAGGGCCTTTGCGTTTCGCCAATCAGATAACTGTATCTCTTGATTTGCAAGTTGTTAGACACCCCATGTGACCTGTAACATACAATATATACCACAAACCAAAAAGATAGAAAATTTTTGGTAAACCACATTAATCTTCAAACAAAGATTTGCAAAACTGTAATAAGTCAAATCAACCTCAAAGAAGGGTAGGCAAAAATGCGATAAACCACATTATCCTTCTAAGAACAAGGGGGGAAATGTGGTTAACCATGTTAACCTTCAAAGAAAGATTGGCACAAATGCAGTAAATCACATTAACTGTCAAGAGATAGGTAAAAATGTGGTAAATCACATTAAAAGTTAAGAAAGTTAGGAAAATCCCTTGAAACGACAATAAACTACCAGAAAGATAGGCAAATGCTACTGTTACATACGTACATCCGCTTGTAGCCATAATATTAGCCCCAATGGTAGTTTTGTACCAAATAATAGAAAAATTCCCATGAAATTAATATGAAGATTTTGTAGATGACTAAAACAGTACCATGAAAACTTCTGACAGCATCTCTGCGACACCACCCGAGAAAACAAACTCTGTTGCCAGCAACCAGTCTCGCGGAAGTGTAGATTGGCACTTCCAGAAGCTATACTAGTTGCCATTTTTCTGCTATAATGTAACAACCATCAAACAGGATTTTATGTCCATCAATAATGCTTTCATAAAGATTCATAAAATTACAGAGACCAAACTAAAAATGAATAACAGTTTTGAATATAGAAACAACAAGAACAATGAACAAGGATTTAAATATCCTAAAGACAACACATGAAACATCTTTGTTCAGAATAAATTCTTTGATATTTTAATATGGGAAGGAAAAAAACAGAGGAGAAAAGGGCATAGCAAAATATTTAAATTACAGATTTAGCCAAGGAAACAGATTCATTACTTCAATGGTGTCTGCCTCCTGTAATCACGACATAATTTTACCCGAAATATAGAAGTTCTTACTAAAAATCCATGAAAAACCAGCCCCGGGCCCCCTAATTAACAAAAATCAAAGAAAAACACATGGCCTCTAGAAACAGAGGAAAGCAACAAGATTAGGCACCAAAAAACCAACTAACATTAACTGAAACAAGAACAAGAAATCCATGCACAACCAACCATAACCAGAACAGATAAATTGCAAAAGATAACAATAGTGTGATACCAATGAATTCTAGTAAAACTAATATATATATATATATATATATATATATATATACACACACATGAAAATGGAAGTCAATTACTGATAGAAAGTACAAGGGTCTGCTTGGTTGCAAATGGGAATGGGAATGGGAATGAGAATGAAAATTGAAATGGGAATAGGAAAAGGAATCAGAATGAAAATGTTGAGTGATGAGAATGAGAATAGGACTGTGCATTGATGCTGGTTGGTTCATAATGGGGAATCATACAGACTAAAATTGGTAACAGAAAAACCCTAACCAGCCTCAACCTTCGTTTTAACTTTAAGCACTCCAAAGAAAACCATCAAACACAACCCATAATCAACCTCAAAAAATATAACTTTTACATGGCATCTAATATAATTCACAAAAATTAACATTGAAAACTAAACTAATTTCCATGGGAAGAATTTGGTGGAGGGAGCCACGAAATAGCCTTCATTTCCCCTGGTTTAACAAGGAATCAACTAACAAAGAGACTACCATCAAAATCGCATGCCATGCATAGAGTTGGTTTGTTGTTAAATGCACCCGAATCTTTATGCACCACTTTAAATAAAGAAATCTTGGAACCAAATAGCTTCGATCTATCAGAATCTAATAGTTTTAATTTCTTCAAGTTCGAGCCACTTAATCGGTGGAAATTGTGTCATTGCTTATCAAGACGCAGTCATATTCCAGCAATTTCACTCCACCATGATTAAACTAATGAGAAAACAAATGTTTTAGAGGTAATAATCAGAACCGAACTGATTCAATGGAGCAAATACCCGAAATTTCAGAAGGGTGTATGAAGAATGCGTTGAGGAGATTGTGCAGCAGCTTCTGCAAATGAATCTTGGCAACGTCTATCTTGATTAGGGTTTTACACTTGTGCAAGAAAGCATCTTGAAGCCAGCTTGAAAAAGCAAAAAAGAAACAGAACTTACCACAAGATGATGAAGCCCAATGAGAGAAGCTTGTAGCGTGAAGTTTGTTTTGGAAAACAGAGGAGGTCAGGAGGATGGCAAATTCTGACAAATACAACAGAATAAAGAGCAATATAACTTTTTGCTATCTTTCGTTTTCAAGGGCAAGTCGTGTTTTGCATCCACAAGTAATAGCTTAATAGGCCTGAATTACATACGTGGTCCCTGTGTTTTACTTAGAATATGGAGATCATCACTCAAAACGATTTGATGGTCTCTAACTTTTACTTTTCGTAACATTGACGGTTAACACCGTTGAATTAAGATACGATAACACTCTTAATTGAGGGGCAAATCCGTCATTTCCTTTTCCTTCTTCGCTACCTCCATTTGCACCAACCCACCCGATGAAAAATCTTAAATGTGTGTTTGGTATATTGTATAAGACAGAACAGAACAGAGATTATTGTTTCATGTATGATAGGACTTTTCTGTAAAATAGTTTGGTGCAGAATTATTATATTGTCACAATAATTAAGAGGCTCTTATGATATGGAGCAAAATGAAATATAATTGTTTACGATGAAATTATGGTGTTAAATGGTTAAGGAAAGCCTAGGATACAAAATCATTCAAAAGGTTTTAAAACCATTAAGAGAAAAACTTTTTTTGTCAAACAAGATTCATCTATTGACGATTCAGATATTGTCTCTTAATGGAATTATGGTAAACAAACAACTCAATAATATCAATTTAACGATATTAACTTGAAGAACCATAAGTGTTATCAAAAGTAAAAAATTAGGGACCAACCATGTAGATAACGTGTTTGAAGGATGACAACCAAATTCTGAGTAAACTACAAGGACCACAATGTAAATTCACATATTTAATAATTAAAATAGACCAGCGGATCTTTGGTCAACACTCATTTGATATAAATCTATTTCTCAAAATTAGAGTCTCCTTAAATTAGTTTAATATAAACTAGAAAAATATTCATACAATATAACGATATATATCTCGATTTTAATGTTTTATTTTATTATGTCTCAGTTGATGTTATAATATAATTTTATATGGTACTAAAAAACGATAATGTTTTTATTTTTAAATAAAATAAAATTTTGAAGATATCATAAAATTTTGAAAAAAAAAATGTATTGATTTTAGTGTCAAATTAAATATTTAAAAATTATTTTTTTTGTGCAATTTCTGTAATTCAAACTTTTTTATAATTTAATTTATATTTAATAATTAAGTCATTTATTTTTTATTTATTTTTTATTTATTTTATAAAGATAATAATTAGTATTTTGTTAGAATTTAATGATTATCCTAAATATATTTTAGATTTTTTATATTTAAAATGAGATACCTATTCAATATTTGATCATGTTTATTTGCATTTAGTTATACAAATTCAAAAATAAAGCTTTAATAAGTTATACATACGTATAATCTACTTGTAATCTTGAATTTTAAGTAATATGCATCAATAAACATCACTTAATTTATAAAAAAAGGTTTTTAAGAGTTTTTATCAAATACTTTATAATATAGTATAGATACATATATTTTACTTTTTATAATATATATTTATGTAATTAATAAACAATAAATAAAACGTGATGATTTCAAACAAAAACTGTTATCAATATAATGATCAATATTAAAGATTTTGATAAGGGGATTTAATTAGTTTTTTTTATTAACCTGGATATCCGACTCGCTATGCGAGTCGACTAGTCTCAGAGCGACCACCTGCTTTGCAGATAGCTCAGAATCAACGCATTTGAACCTCCGTGGCCACAAGGAGATCTTTATTTCTCCCTAGATTTGAACCTAGGACCTCCTTCTACTTTTGACCTTTGAAGCCAAGCTCAAACTAATCAGGCACCATCCTTGTGGTTGATTTAGTTAGTTTTTTTTTAATTTGATATAAGGGGTGTTTGGGATTGCTTATAAAAACAACTTATTGACTTATTTCGGTGTGACACCGGTAATAAGCAGTTTTAAGTGTTTGGATAAACAACTTATACCGGTGTCAAACCGGTAATAATGATTTTTTGAAAAAGTTAAACCATTCTAACTTATAATAGGTTGATAAGCAATTTTGTAAAACAAAACATAAGTTGTTTCAAATAAACAATTCCAAACACCCCTATCGAAAGATATGTATGTCTAAGTTTTTTATGTTTAATTTTCTGATTAAGAGTCTTTTTTTATGAAAATTTTTTTTGTAACAGGTTTAAAGAAGGCAATGCTATTAATATTTTTTTTATCTCAGAATCAAATCAAATTATGTATTTAAAATATAAAAAATAAATAGTAGTATTAAAATATATTAAAAAAACTAATAAATAGAAATACATTTAATAATATATAAAAATATTTATACTATATGATAAAGCATTTGACGAAAACTCTTAAAAACAATTTTTTATGCGTGAATACTGTTTATCGATGCATATTACTCAAAATTCAAGACTACAAGTAAATTGTGCGTAAGTACAACATATTAAAGTCTCATGTTTGAATCTGTGTAACTAACTTCGGATAAACATAATCAAATAAAGGATAAACATTTCATTATAAATATAAAAAAACTAAAATATAATTAGAACAATTATTGAGTTCTAGCAAAATACTTAATTATTATCTTTATATAAAAACTACATTATTAAACCAAAAATAAAAAAAATGAACTAAAAAAATATTAAAAAAAAAAAATTTTAAATAGTTAATCTGGTACTAATATCAATAATTTTTTTTTATCTTTTATGATATCTTCATATTTGTATTTTATTTAAAAATAAAATATTATCGCTTTTTCAAAACCGTATTATAACATCGACTAACACAAAAAACCGAAACACTAAAATCGAGATGTATCTCGCTACATTGTACGAATACCCTTCTAGTATTTAATAATATATCAAAGAAAAATTGAATCACGCATAAAAAGTGGTTTTGGCAAGTGCGCTTTTGAAAAGGTGTGGTTCCAACTTCCAAATACATGAATATAATCCAGAATTCCACCCATAGGGAAAGCAAGTCTCCTCCAAGTTGTTTCCTTTAAGTTCAAGTGTTTTTTCATTTTTGGTCCCTTACTAAACTTTCATTTAAAAATAGGTGCTTTTGCTATTTGTATTTTTGTTTTTAATTTTTCTACACACACATCAACATCAACATCAACATCGACATCGACATCAAATAGCAAAAGCACGTATATTTTCTGGTATATTTTGCTAGTATATTTTCTGGTATATTTTCTGGTATATATCTACACACACATCAACATCAACATCGACATCGACATCAAATAGCAAAAGCACGTATATTTTCTGGTATATTTTGCTAGTATATTTTCTGGGTTTTTGAAACTTCCCAACATTTATGCCCAAAGTATATGTACAATGATGCCCTCCTGCTGTCTGCTCAATGTTCTTGTACGTCGAAGCACGTCGTTGCCGTCTTGCCACTGCCCTCTCACCCATCTTCTTTTGCCTTGTGATTCGTCCATTTCGCTACTATCCTCTCAATGTTCTATAGCCAAAGGATGTAGTTGCCCTTGTTTCTTGTTGCCAAAGCATAAGGCAGCAGCCTCTCTATTTCTTGTTGTCGAAGCACCGGGCAGGCACATGTTGTTGTACATTGAAATTGTTTCACGAATGTGGAATTGGACCCCCTCTTCTTCCTTACTTGCATTTTTGTTTTCCAAACACTTTAACATGTGAATGCTCATTAATAAGTTGCGGAAAATGTTAGATTTCTTGTTCACTTACTTCCATTTTGATATACAATATACTTACATGTGAATGCTCATTAATAAATCACGAGAAAGGTTATGTGGTTTACTCATTTACTTCCATCTTCTTTTACAATGCATTCACATATGAAATGTCGTAGCAAATTTAGTTTCAATTTTTGTACATTTTTTTCATTAAAAATCGTATGTCGTACTTTATATATTCACATTTGAATGTCATATTTTTTTTGCACAAACTTCAAAAATATTGACAAGATCACAACCGATTGTGTACAATTTTTTGGAAAAAACTAAAATATGGAGAAGATCACAATGGTTGTGGTTTGATAATATTTGTTTTTAGCTAGCCCTATTTTAAGGAAATTTGTTTTTGGTATTAAGTGTAAAATTTTACCCTTTTGAATTAAAAAATAATATTTTTAATAGAAGTTGGATTGAAAACGATCGGGAGTTCTCGCATTCTCATTTTTTAGGGTTCTGTGAAAAACCCACCTCATATATATATATATATATATATATATATATATATATATATACACACACATACATATACATTCATTCATTCAGTTAAGATCCTTCTAATTTATAAGATCTGTGAGATCCAATTTAGTTATGTAATTAAAGTTAAATATTGAAACAAGCTAATTTTGACTAAATAATTTAAATAGAAGGTATTGTAGGTAATTAGTGAGTCTCTCTCTCCTCCCTCCATTGAATAATAGATGTATTATCCTCACATAACATGCACAATATGTTGGTGATTTTAGTGTCATCGGGCCATTTAAGTGTAATTGGAAGTAACATCGAGTTCTTAGGGGGTTTTATATTGTGTTCTAATACAAGTCAGGAGGTACGGAGTGCACACTTTTTATAAGACAAGTATGACCCTGGTGGGAGTTAAGGGGCTTCACCCCTTGCATTTTAGTGGAAAATTGGTCATAAAGACCAGAAGGTCTCTGCTCTGCCTTGGCTTTGGTTGTTAAGGACCAGAGAAGGTCTCTGCTCTGCCTTGGCTTTGGTTGTTAAGGACCAGAGGCTCTGGTTGGTAAGATCAAAGGCTCTAGTTCTTTGTTTATGTTTGCTAAGACTTACTTCTGGTTGGTAAGACTAGAGGGGATCTGGTTCATTGCTTATGATTGCTAAGACTTACCTCTGGTTGGTAAGATCAGAGGGGTTCTGGTTCCTGCTTATATATGCTAAGACTTGCCTCTGGTTGGTAATACCAGAGGGGCTATGGTTGGTCCTGTCTCTGGCTTCACGTCTAGAAGGTTAGAACAATTTTGTAACTGTTCACTACCATTAATGAACAATTTTTGTAACTGTCCACTAATTTTAATTTGCAATTTTATAACTGTCCATTACTTTTAATGTGCAGTTTTATAACTGTCTAT